CTGCATGCATTAACACATCTGAAAGTGAGCCAGTAACCTCTCCCCAAGCTTTGAGCATTTAAAGAAATAACTGCACTGGAACGCTGCAGCAACGCTTCGATCAAAGCTACACAGAACTTCAAAGTGCAAGAACTACATGAGATTTGAAGTTTGCTTGATGAAATGCCATAAATAACAAAGAAGATTGATAACTCTGACCATCTCACATCAAAACCGACTATACATTAACTAAACAAAGAAACAACATGGCCAAACGTATATATATATATATAGGCAAGTAGCAAATGTTGAGCAGTCCTGCGTGTTTCAAAAACACCAGAATTCTGACAAAAGAAAAAGTTTCTCATGAAGTTAAAAGGGATAGTGATATTCCCATTGGTATCTCTTCTAAAACCCAACTCTACAAAAATCCAGCTGGAAGCACGCCTGCACAAGGCATTGATTAGACTCATATACAGAGCACAGACACAGTTGTGCAACCCAGTGACTGCTGCGTTGTGTAACAACCTACGGAGCCCCTTACTCCAGAGAGCCAGGCAGTCTGTTGACGTCTCCACTGATGCAGCTTCTGGTAAGTGGAAAGTTTGCTGGGAAACTGAATGAACCCACCTCTTTCTTCTCATCTAACCACTCTACCCTCACAACCCCCTTTTTCTCTTCCTGCCTGTTACACCTACAGCTTAAAGCACTTGGAGGAAAGCATACAAGGACGCAGCCTTAGCAGTTCTTCAAACTAGACAAATGTATTCTTCTATTTACATGTCAGTACAAAGCAGGAAAGATGGTGATTTTTCAGCTTCCATAATCCTCTTTGTGAAAAGAAGATCCCATTAATCTGCACAAAAACGTCACTGACCCCTAAAGAGCAGAGTTTTAAGAGTACTGCGATTATGCTTGTCTACAGGGATGTGGCATTTGACCTCTATTTAAGAGGCAGTTATACTATGGCAAATCTCCCCCTGGAACAAGTAAAAAGGAGATGTAATTACCTAGATAAGAAGATCTGATGAAAGACAAAAACCTTACATTAAACCTTCTGAAAAAAGCCCAAAAAGGAGAAGTTAGAAGGAGACAGGAAACATCAGAAAGACAGACGTGGTGAGATGTGCTGGTCCCTGCTGTGGAGTTCCGCTTAGAGGGTGGAGAGGATGGGACGGGTCAGCTCTGCTCTCCTTTTATCTTCACAGTAGGAGAATTAAACATGCAGACAGAGCTGGCCACATCTGGAACCTTTGTACACTTATCTGCGCTTCTCTTTCAGGCTCCCAAAAGCTATAAATCAACCAGTTCATGTGAACCCTGCATCAACCCTACACCCATCCCTAAGTCTGCCCAGCGTGCTATTAGAGCACCTGATCCCTGCTTCTATTAAACAGAACAGACATAAGCAGTTTATACACATGAATGTCCAGTGAATCAGGTCCAGAAATTGTCTGCAGCTTCCTTTTCACACATGTAGCGGACAGCAGGAGATTATCCATGTCAGAGAGATACTTACTACCTGAAATACTATGTTTGGTTTAGGCGACGGTTGCTGCCAGGTTTCACAGGATGTGACACAAAGCAGCACGCTCACGTCCTTACTGTCTGTTCTCTGGACAATCACCTCCTTTATTAAGCCTAATGTACATTACACAGACGCCGCACTAAGCGACCTGGAATGACAAAATTTGTTTAAAGCCTACTCCGACACATTCACCTATTTTAATTGTCACAAGAAATTCCTCTGAGTAGCATCTGGAAAAGTTCAGGGCAGAAGCGAATATGTTAAAACCTCTATAGCGAACAGGTTTGGACCAGTTTTATGAGCCGATTTTGAGTTGAAGGAGGTTGTACGGGTGCGCTCTTATCTCAAAATGCTTTCTTTTTTAAGCGTCGCAGTAACAAGGACACAGAGGAAAACAATATATAATGAAAAAATCCAACAAAAGAACGGATGAAAGTGTCAAATCTCACTTCATGAAACATAATGTTACTAAGTAATGGCTGAACGACTCAAAGGTATTTGGGTTCGTGCGCGTGCTGAAGTGACCTGACTGGACATGACTTGAGACGGCTCAAGGAATGTAAAGGGTGTTCAGGCAGAAACCAACAGAGGAATGTGAATACCATTGATATGACCCCTCACATATACATATTGCTTCAAGGTGTATCATATAACTACCTTCGGTTTCTCATTCTCAATTTCATCCTTCCCTTTAAATTTCATTTAGTGTTTCTCCCGCTTCCACACCTCACAATAATTAAAAGAGCACACTATCAGGGAACGCGGACTCGGGTTTGCAAACCAGAAACAGAAAAATCTGTGATTCGATTAAATTAAATTATATATTGCCAAATCATAACCACAGTCACCTCAATGCATTTTATATTGTAAGTAGGGATGCAACGATATCAATTTTTTCAAACCGATAGGATACCGATACTTGGATCTGAGTACTTGCCGATACAGAGTACAAAAAACGATACTTCAACCACACACACACAAATGCAATGAATTGGAAGACAGGTTTTATTATATTCCCTGCCGATAAAAAATAAAATCTTAATAAAAATGACCACAAAAAAATTTCAAGTGAAAAATAAGCACTTCTGTTAAATTATTGCAGAGTCTCCACATTGTAATTTTACAAAATATTCCTGAACTATTGGCACTGTCTCGAGCTTTCAGAATAATAAATAAACACTTCTGTTTGGAATAAAATAAATACAAATTAGGTTTGCGAATAAAATAAACTTTTAAATTATTGCAGAGTGTCCATAATGTAAACAAACAAACAAAATAATTATTATAAAATAAATAATTAAAAAAAAAAAATTGGCCCCCTAGTGGCCAATCTAAAAAACTACAACAGAAATGACAAGCCACCTTCTGATTAATGAAATAAGTTGGTATCGGTTCATGGTATCGGTTAACTTTTACGAGTATGAGTACACACACATTTTACAGTATCGGCCCCGATACCCGATACCAGTATCGGTATCGGTGCATCCCTAATTGTAAGGTAAAGACCCTAACAGAGAGAAAACCCCAAATCAGATGATCCCACATGAGCAAGCAGTTGGCGACAGTGGGAAGGAAAAACTCCCTTTTAACAGGAAGAAACCCGGACAACCAGGATCAGGAATAAGGAGCCATCTGCCACGACCAGTTGTGAGTTTTGACTCTTTTATTAAAATGATAATAACATTCTGTGTGACTGTGGACATTTTCTATATCAAATCAGATCACGGATTCCTAAATTTATGCGAGAGCTGCAGTATGTCAAAGGTATTTTCAGTATGACATCTGATATCTGACACTCGCCAAATACATTAATCAGCAGTGCTTCTTCAGGTTGATGAGATGTTTTTCCCCGATATAACTGTGCTGTGCTTTCAAGAAGACGGGGTTCAAAAGAGCACTGGACCAAAAAGCCGACACAATAAGGGAGACGGGATATGAGGGACTCATGACTGAATCAATAGACTGGAAAAACCCAGAGTTTCTAAAGCTCCTAGCCTCTGCCCCGGCTGTCAACAGTGACGACTATTACACAAGCTTCATTTGAAGTGGATATGAGCCAAGGCACTCTAAATCATGACACAGGTTTTGTGTCCCACACTTCAGGGTCTACACACCCCAGATTCTCCACTTGTTTTCTTCCTGTCTGCTGTTCTTCGCCTGGGGCCAGGTTCTCAAGGGAAAGCTTCTCACGTGCACGTGTGTGTTTACGAGCATGCAAACCACGCCCTTGCTTTTTGTGTTTTGTCTGCAAATTCTGCCCCCATTCTTAGAGAGTAACGACTCTGTCAGCCAGGCGAATAAAAACAGACCTTGGCAGGCTTGCAATCGCAGATAATTCATTTCAGCATTATATGACTCTCTCAATAGGAAGTAATCATATACTGTGCACATCCATTTGTGTGCATCTGGTTGTTACTCGGAGCCTGTGAGTTCAGACAATGCACAATGACAATGCTACCGTCACAAAACAGATGTGCTGCCTATCCACCACATCTCAGAGGACAAAATGTACAGTCCTGGGAAAGACTTTTGTCTGGCAAACCCTAGTGCCAAATACCATCACGTAAGAGACCAGTGTCTGATCATACTAGCATGGGTCAAACAAAAGCAGCGGAAAAATACTTTTCCAGGCTTCTGAAAAGCTCCGCACAGTCAGTACACGAATCAAACTTCCCAGCAGGTTGCTTTTACCTGTCAAGAAGTATGCAAATGAATAGCTAAAGGCATGTTGGCAGCCTTGTATGTATTATATAACTAAGTCTGCTACACACACGTTGCTTCTATGGGATAGTTTAGTGGTGTGTCAGGGTGCCCCTGTTCTTTAGAGGAGAAAAAATCTTTTGAAAAATAAAGTTGGCCTCAGCATTTCTTCTTGGCACTTTCAAGTTGGTTTGAGCTGCTTTTGGGAGACAAGCTTACAGTAGAGTTTGAGCTAGCAAACCCACAGCTGACCACTTTTAAAGAAAACAGGAAAATATAAACTATGTCAACAACTGTTTGTAAACTTCTACTCACGGTGCAAGCTGAGAGAGATGTTGATGGTGCGGTTGTTACTGACAGACTTCAGGTCTTGGATGCTGGCACACTTAAGCTGGGTGGCAGCGGGCGTATCGCCCACATCTATCCAGCAAACAGTCTCCTCCGCATAGATGAAGTCCATAGCCATGGTCTGTTTGGTGGCGATGGAAGGAACCCGGGTCGCGGAGCCACTCAGGGAGGTGCATCGGATGTTGTTAAGGTTGGCGATCAACAGAACAGGCAGACGGTCCACAGGCTCTGGGTGAGGTTAACAATTTTTTAAGTAGAGGAGAGAAAATATTAGGAAGGAATATGATCTCCTGCATAATGTTTTGGCCATCCATTTCCTGGTTCAGCATGAACTATAATCATTGGGCTCTGTCGAGTCCTGTCCACCCCCTCACCATTTTTGGCTTTGCAGGAGCGGTTGTCTGGCTGCAGGAGATAGCCCTCCACGCAGCTGCAGGTGTAGCTGCCTTCAGTGTTTGTGCATGTCTGACTGCATGTTCCATACACACCACACTCATTGAAATCTACACAAAAAAAAACACAAAAGCGCATTAACACACACAGTAAATGATGAAACTTTAAGATAGTACTCTCTTCTCTTCCAAAGGCTGGTTGAATCACCTCTACATGCTGTCCCCTGCACTCAGCAAACAGATGGTTACTTTCTGTTTGTCTTAGGCCAAACTAAAACGAATTTGCCAAATCACCACCCACCTTTACATTTCTTTCCATCTGCAGCAACCTCGTAACCATCTCCACAGTAGCAACGAGGCCCATCATGAGTCACTGCACAGCCAATCTCGCACCCATGGGAGGCACAGTCTGGTGCGTTTGCTAAACCAGGGAAAACAGAGCAACATAGAGCGTGTTAAATACTGCTGAAACATGAATACTATTAAGGATAGCAGGGATGATCCCAGGGCAATGCATGCTATCGTGTCCAATCCCATCCTGTCTTACAGGACTGCAAGACTGCGAGTGCATGTGAATGTGTGTACGAGAGACAAAAGGACTGTGGGTAAGCGTGTGTATTCATCTGTGCATGTGACAGACGCGGTCATTTGAGAGCTTCTTCTTTTCCAGCCTCAGAGGGAACTCACGGACACATCCTTTTGGCATGAAATGAAAGAGGGGAATCCGCACATCCTCTCATCATGGCCTCTGTAGGTTGTGCATGAGCATGCAGAGGTGTGTGTCGGGGCAAGAGCATGAATACGGTTGTGTGGTTGTAATAGATTCTTGTCACATGACACTGTTCATGAGTCCAGTACTAAATACATTAAAACAGTATGTACTGTAGGGCTGCCACAAACGATTATTTTGATAGTCGACTAGTCACCGATTATTTTTGCGATTAGTCG